ATAGTCAATATTGATTTTGTATTCAATACTTGAATGCTTTGACTTTTCCAATACAAGATTATTCTGTGGATGAACTTAGAACTCAATTTTGAAACTAAATAAGATCCAATTTTCACAGTTGCTTAGTTTTATCTAGCAAAATAATCAGGAAATATTTGTAAAGTTAAGAAAATAAAAAAGTACACTGTAAATATAACTTACACAATTAAGAGACCCTCATATAGTCAGCAAACTTATTTTAGTTAACAGTTATATCTAGAGATTGAAAAACAATTCATTTCCAGTTTTAAATACTATTTTGAAGAAGACAAGTCATGTAAGCAATCTCAATTAAAAGTGACACACTTACATACTAATTCAATCAAAATTTTATTACAAGCTCACTTTTTGCAAAAATACATTTCCATTGCAATAAAGCACAAATGTTATACTTAGTAGAACTGGGGGCAGAAGATAGCTGCAAACAAATTAAATATCTTTATTATTCAAGGGTTAACTTACATTGTACAAGTATATTCAGATTATGTTTCCAACATTCTTCAGATATTGGCAAAAGTTGGTAAGAAAGCAGAAAAATTTCAGAAAATGAAGTAATTATGAATAAACAAACAAAAAAAAAACAACAACACCCAAGATAAGAAGCAATAATTTACACTTGGTATTGTAGCTTAAGTTATGAGATCATATTTAATATTCAGACAGAAGCATCTCCACCTCTAAATAGTGTTGTTTTTTAAAAACAGAATGAGATCTTGTACATCAAAAAAAAAAGAAATTATTTACAGAAAGCCAGAGCTGGTGTTGACTGCTGTAAGTGAAGAAAAAAGCAATGTGTGAGAAGTTTCCATCACAAGAACCTGTGGGACATGAAAACACACACAGAAAGCTAATTACTTCCTCTAGTTTACACACTGAATAAAATAAAATATCTGAGTATCTTCACATTAGTACAGGTATTGTAGTACAATTACATTAATTAATGAACAAGGGTCAAGAAAACATATTTTCTCACAGGTTACTAATAAATAAGTTGTAGCCTAGATTAGCTTTTTTAACCACTGTTATACAGTGAAGTATATATGGTTAAAAATATTTGTAGCAAAAATTTAGGTTTTATTCTTCAGTGAAGTTGCAGTATATAAAAAACCAATAAAGCTGATGGATAAAAGTTAGCATAAAAGAACAAAAATTCAGTAGGAGCATTCACTTCACTTACTCTCACACAAAATGTCAAAATATGTGAACTTGCCCATATAATCAACACCTTACCTGAAAAGCTAGGATAACAACATTTTATATAGCAGCTGGTATACAGTAAAAGGCCTCGTTGGCAGTGGTGTGTGACACAATGAGTACAGTCAAGATGCCATTACATTCCTCTTACTGGAAACCAACACAAGGCAAATAAAGAAATATTTGTTACAAACTACTGTCAGTTTTAGTGCAAAACACCAAGCTATAAGACCATGCTTTGCTGACATAAGGCATTATATATCATAATAATATTTTTTACTAAAAATAAACAGTGATGACTTAATAAAGAACATCAACCAAAGGTTTCAAGGAAAACAGCATACATCCAACTGAGACTATGAATGCTTATGTGATAACATTTCACCAGTAATAACATTGTACGCACAATAAGATAGCAATAAAAATTCAACAGGAGAAAACTGAGATGACATCTTATTTTGTCAAAAACGATAAAGAGTAGGTGATGATGCACTGTTAAGTATCAATCAAGGTAACATGAGATGATGATTTACCTTAGCCTATTCAAAAGAACACATACATGAATGTGCAGTATCAAATGTCAAAAAGGGTTATTTGGAATCAATGGCATCACAACTACTTTATGGATTAAGGCATACCACAAATTTTACCGAATAAAAGACAATGAAAAAAAATAATAAAGATTCTAGTCACAACTTGAAAGCCTTTAAATAAAACATTGTGCCATTCAGTGAAAACAATGAAAAGCTTAAATTAATGCATTTACAAAGTGTGATGTATGCAAACTGAAACAGATCCAGGTCTCATGACCAAATCTTTACTTTATATGAGAATCAATTTTGAAACTATTATGTACAATTACCTAGATGACCAAAATCTATGTCTTTTCTAAGCTTGCAATCATCTAGTTAAAATATCTCTTGAGCCAATAATGGTAGTGGTGTCCTGTTTATAATCCATAGTTAACAAGTAGTTCAGTATGTTGTCCACCACAATTTATTAAAGTCTTGCTTTCACAAGTTTCATCTTACTGAAGGCTATATATTTCATCTTCAGCTGAAGTAACTGGGAAATTCATGAAACTTAACATACACTAATTTACGTTTTATCAGCAAATGAATAAAGAATAAATACTTAATAAGTTAGGAAGAGCTAAGCAACATACAATTCAATGTGATAAATAACTACAGTTTCTCTTTGCCAAATGGTTTTGCATTCAATTCAGTAAACAAAACACCATGTTAGGTAAAATTTGAAGTTTGATCATCAGTGAATTTTTGAAAACATCTACTAGTACTGAAAAGTGTTTCAGTATAACCAGTGTTGCAGGCCTAATAACATAGAATTAAAAACAATAAATAACAAGGGAGTGTGTGATACACAAAGCCATCGTTTCTTTCTCTCCCCTCAGTTTTTTCATACGATTTTCAAAATTTCATGTACTTTGTGTTGGTTGAAATACATAACATTGATCAAGATATCCTCTAAGTTTCTCTGAATTTAGTCATTCATGGAAGTAAATGAGTCATCCCCATTAGGAAGGATTATTGTAACATGAAACATGCTTTAGAAACTGACAGTGATCATTTCTTATGGTAACCAAGGTGATAAAAGGAAACAAGATGAATGCATTAATTCTGAGCTGGTTAAGAAAAATTTGGGAAGTTTAAAAAATGATAAGGCTCCTGGGCCAGATAATATTACCCCAAGGGTTTTGAAGGAGGTTAAAGATTGGATATGTGAGCCACTTGCTACTATTTTTTGTCAGTCCTTCAATAGTGGCCAGGTACCAGAGGATTGGAAGTTAGCTAATGTAACTCCTCTTTTCAAGGGAGGTGATACAAATTGTCCCAGTAATGACAGACCCATTAGTCTTACATCAGTTGTGGGAAAACTTTTGGAAAGTCTGTTAAAAGATGCTTTGCAAAGTCATTTAACAAAGTTTAGAATTTTATTGGATAGACAACATGATTTCACTAAGGTAAAATCTTGCCTTACAAATCTTTTAACATTCTTTGAAAAGGTTACTGCTTATGTAGGTGAGAGTAAGGGTGTAGGTTTGGTGTATCTGGATTTTCAGACAGCATCTGACATAAAAGGCTTGTAAAAAATAGCTCTATAGGTGTGGGGGATAAGTTAGCAAATTGGATAAAAGAGTGGCTGGATGGAAGAAAGCAGAGAGTTGTTACAAATGGAGTTCAATCAAACTGGATTAATGTCAAAAGTGTGTTTGCTCTTTTTGATTTATATCAATGACAAAGATGAAGGGATAGTCAATAAATTACTTAAATTTGCTGATGATATTAAGGTCTTGGGTGTTGTTAGCTGTGAATAGGATGCTGCTGATTTACAAAACGATTTAGATCATTTAGTGAGTTGGGCAAATAAGTGGCAAATGGGTT